TTGGATGATCATATGTATCTAGAAATCTGTCCATTTCTTTTAGATTTTCAAATTTATTTGAATATAGGTTCTCAAAGTAGTCTCTGATGATTTCCGAAACTGTGCTTTTGAAGAGAATAGTTAGTAACTTTTTGCAATTTTAACAAAAGGGTTTCAGAATAGACTTACATTATTAGAATTAAATCTGTATTCATTTAAGTTTGGAGGCAATTTTGTTTCAAGTACATCACTCAGTCTCTGAGTTTTTGTTATTTTGAGACTGACTCTTCTATAGCCCAGGCTACCCTCAAACTCACCAACCTTCTGAGATTATAGGCATTTTCCACAACACCTGGCTTCTGAATGTTTATTGACAATAAAATGTGGTATTTCCCTATTATTTAACAAGGAAAAATAAAAACTGGAACCTGCAAATCTCAGTCAACTAAACACTTGGGATTTTATCCACTGGATTAAAAACTTATTTTCACATGACATTCCCTGTTTTATATTTATTTCAGGTAACTCATGTAATCAAATTTTTATTTCTCTCATTATCAATGGGTGTTTTTTGATAGAAGAAAAATAGCATAATTAGAAAACAAATTTTAAACTTTTAAAATACTTTTATTAATTTTAGGTGTTAAGAAGTTTCCATTCCTTTGCTCCAAATCAGAAGACATTGGTCTTTGCATACAGAATTGGAGTAATGTTTAAAAATAATTGTCAGCTGATTGGTGTTTGAGACTGAAGATTGTCATGACTGTCTAACCTAAGCTCTATGCTGATTTAAGATTAATTGTATGGAAAATATTAATTTGGGTAAGTATTTTTAATCGTGGTATTTGTTGAATGAAGAGAAAAGACATGTAGAAAAAGATTTTTAAAAATAAGAAAAACATAGTCAACCCTTTATACTGTAGATATATGGTTCCAAGGAGACTGCCACTGAGGAAGAACCATGAGTGCTCAGAATGTTTAGAACTCAGTGCTGTGCCGTGGATGCTTGACTTATTTTTCCCATAATGCTGGCTGACTTCCACTAAAGCGATGCCACCTTTCAACAAATCTAAAATTTTCACTTTACCACTTACATTAAGCACATTAATTTTTACCTTGTTTTTTGGGGTATCATTTGCTTTTGGAGAGGCATATTGTCAGAAAATTAAGGTCAGAAAAACATTCAGAAGATCACGCAACAATTTAAACACAACTGACAGTAATGAGGGACTGACTGAGCTCCATCCACATCAACTGAGCTACATATTGCTCACACAGGAATTTGGTTTTTGTGGGGGGTAGTACTGGGGTTTGAACTCAGAAGTACCACTTGAGCCACTCCATCAACCCTTTTTTTGTGTTGGATATTTTCAGGATAGAATCTCCAAAACTATTTGCCCAGGCTGGCTTCGAACCATGATCCTTCTGATCTCTTCCTCCTGAGTAGCTAGGGTTACAGGCGTGAGCCACTAGCACCTAGCCAAGCAGGAATTTAAAATCTATGTTTTTTGAAATTTCTTTGACTTTCACAAAATTTGTTTGACTGTGCCTCGTCAAAACCATATGTACTAAATCTTATGAATGAGGCAGGCTTACCGTACTCAGATCAGCATTAAAACTGTGTGGATTTCAGTCTTGTACTATTTTGAAAATAAAAGTTTGGGAATTTGGGTAATTTGTGGCAAACTAAACCTGAGCTTGAAGCAGTTTTCATCCCACAATGGATTGTTTGAAACATTTTCTGCAGTCCTGGGGATCTAACCCAGAGCTTTACATATGCTAGGCAAGTGCTATACATCTGAGCTACATCCCAAGGCCTAGAAAAAAAAATTATAAATTACACATTCAAAATGCTCATAAAACATAATCATAATCATGGTTAACATTCCTAAAACCTGCTGGACTTTCTGTAACAAGTGTGGTAGGCACCAACCTTACAAAGTGACGCAGTACTGGAAGGAAGAGGATTCTCTGTGTGCCCAGGGAAACGGTATTATGGCAGGAATAGAATGGCTGTGTTGGGCAAACTAAGCTGATTTTCCACAGAAAAAGCTAACACTACAAAGAAAATTGTGCTGAGACTTGAGTGAGTTGAGCCCAATTGCAGATCTAAGAGAATGTTGGCTGTTAAGAGATGCAAGCGTTTTTAACTGGGAGGAGATAAGAAGAGAAAGGGGCAAGTGATCCAGTTCTAAGCTCCATCTTTTGTTTTTTTTATGAAGAAGATAAAGTGAGGTCAATCTTTAAAAAAATGTGCTTAGGTATACACTAATGTGATCATTACTGCTATTGTGCTTCATTGCTATTTTTTACATTGTTTCCATGGGAAAGTGAATTTTGCAGTTATGTCTCTGGAAGCCAGTCAGAAAAACCTGGATTGAGCATTTACAAATACAAGGATCCAGAATATTGGAGAATACTTGATATTATGTACCATTTAAATTCACACAACCACAGATATTCTTCTAGGTTATTTATTCTCTAGATATTCTAAATTGAGAGACAAAGAATATTTACTCTTATCATATATCAAGGGTGTTATTCTGTCTTCAGTACTAAATATCTTTTGTCATAAGTTGGAAAATACATTTGGTTAGATGCCATGCTATATTTTCCATTTTTATTTAATCTTTTTCTTATTGGTCAAGTTCTCCACTTTTATTTTTAGGATTTCTGGCTAAAACCTTGGAAGAGTTGTAAAAAAGACCACAAATGTTACTTTGAGACTAATATTTTATGTAATTAAGCACCTTTTCATCAAAGTGACCTACTTAATATTTATTTTTAAAGTAGTAGTCTTTAATATCCTATTTTTTAGGCACTGGGATGATGTACTTAAAAGCATGAACTCTGGAACCTGACTGACCTGAATCTAGAATTCCAGCTCTAGTACTTAACTACTTTCATCTCCAGATTATACATCTTTAAGATGAGGATGTTCATTTTTACTTAACAGGATCTGAAAATTAAATGAGATGATGATCTTTGTGAAGTTCTTAGTCCAGTGCCTGACATACAGTGATCTTTCAAATATATTTGCTACTCTTTTTTTTTTAACAGCTTTTCTGGGTATTCTGTATGTTCTCTCTCTCTTTCTCTCAGTACTGGAATTTGAACTCAGATCTCACACTTGCTAGGCAGGTACTTTACCACTTGAGCCAAGTTCCCAGCCCCCCCTTTTCTTGATACTTATAATTAATGACCTTTATCTTCTAATGAACACAAAAACTTATTTGTTGCATCCTAAGTAATGTAATTACTCAGGTACATTCAGATTATTTGGTACTACAAGGATAAACTATCTAGAGAAGATACAAATATGTGAAAAGCCTAACAGTTATTATAGTTTGGAAGAATTGACCTCCAAATCTCAAGTAATTGTTTTAGAATTTCAAGTATAACATTAATCAGTTGCTTAGTTATTGGTATGTAGACATCGATTTCAAGCTAAAAAGCCCTCTTTAAAAATTATTTTCTATTTTATAAGCTCATATGCTACATTAAAATTTTCAGAATTTAGTTAGTATATAGAGTATCCATATTGTATATGACCTATTACTTAATTTGTGGGGTAATATAAATGTTATAAACTAATAAAAGAAATATGGCTGTGATTGATAATTTAAAGGTAATATGATTAACCTGCATTTTTCTTAGTAACTTTTATAAGTTTGATTATAAGAGCTTCTTTTATTACTTCTCTTTCTGGATAGTTCAGTGGTTTCACTGTGAGTACTATAAAAGAATCACCCCCACAGGAACACAATGATAATATGAATGTCCTTAGATATTTTGTTTTCCATCCACTTAAAATACTTAGATCTGAACTTTGCTTCCAAGGAAAAAGGGCTTAAGTGGTGGTTCTAACTGCTTAATCACTAGGTTATAGCCTTCCTTATAGCAGGTTAACATTTACTTCTGGTTTTAAATAATTATTAATACAGAATGTTTGGGGGAACATTTCTTATTTTTCAGGGTAACCCAAAGCTATTTCTGGAACCATGAAAATTTTGTTGGTATTTGACTTCGACAATACAATCATAGATGACAATAGTGACACCTGGATTGTACAGTGTGCTCCAGACAAAAAGCTCCCTATTGAACTACAAGATTCTTATCAAAAAGGACTTTGGACAGAATTTATGGGCAGAGTCTTTAAGTATTTGGGAGAGGAAGGTGTAAGAGAAGATGAAATGAAGGAAGCAATGACATCAATGCCTTTCACTCCGGGGATGGTAGAACTTTTCAACTTTATAAGAAAGAATAAGGATAAATTTGACTGTATCATTATTTCAGATTCAAATTCAGTCTTCATAGATTGGGTTTTGGAAGCTGGAAATTTTCATGATGTGTTTGATAAAGTGTTTACAAATCCAGCAGCTTTTGATAGCAATGGTCATCTCACTGTGGAAAATTATCATGCTCATTCTTGCAACAGGTGCCCAAAGAATCTTTGCAAAAATGTAGTTTTGGTAGAATTTGTAAATAAGCAGTTACAACAGGGAGTGAATTATACACAAGTTGTTTACATAGGTGATGGTGGAAATGATCTCTGTCCAGTAACCTTTTTAAAGAAGAATGATGTTGCCATGCCACGGAAAGAATATACTTTACATAAAACTCTTTCCAGAATGTCTCAAAATTTTGAGCCTATGGAATCTTCTGTTGTAGTTTGGTCTTCAGGTATGGAAATAATTTCTCATTTACAATCTCTAATAAAGGAATAATATACCAACAGTTGAAATGTGTATTAAGGTTAGGTTCTTAACATAAAACTAAAATGCCAAATACTGATGGCTTTAAAAAAAATTTTTTTTTCCCCCTCTCTCTTCAAAGAATTCCAGAAGTATTTCAAGACTGCTATGTTAACTCTATCAGCATCAGCACTTAGATTCCAATTGCTGTTCGAGCTGCAGCCCTCACAGCAATGTTCTGCCAGCCAGAAGCAGGGCAGTGGGAAAGGGTTAAATAATCCCTTAGGTTTAAGGATATTTCCCAGAAGTTGTACCCAACACTTCTATTTAAAATACCATTAGCCAAAACAGTCAGTGCCCCACCTACCTGCAACAAAGGATGGAAAATACAGCCTTCATGTGCCCAAGAAAAGTTGGCAATTAAGAGAATTGAGGTAGGTGCAACTGGTGATCTATAGTAAAGGTGGTGATTAGGTATATGTTTTTAATTTATTTCTGGAGAGAGTGGTCATGTTTTATTCTCTTAGATAATTATTTTTAAAGTGCATCCAGAGCCAGGCACCAGTGGCTTGTGCCTATAATCCTAGCTACTTGGGAGGATTGAGATTTGAGGCCAGCCTAGGTAAATAGTTCATAAGACCCCCATCTCCAAAATAACCAGAGCAAAATGGACTAGAGGTGTGGTTCAAGTGGTAAGAGTTCAAACCCCAGTCCCCGCCCACACCAAAAAAAAAGTGTATCTAGTAACATTAAGCTTTATCACATAAAAATAAGTTTCAAATTTATATAATGTCTTCCCAAATTAGTATTTTTTAAAGATAGGAATGCACCATTTGTTGGAGTTTTCATCAACTTGAGGCTTTCCTTTTGAAATGAAATATCAATGTTCTTCGAATATTTAAAGTTTATACCATAGTCATACATAATAACTAGAATTTTGTTTTTGTTTTGAAACAGGTCTTTGTAGCCCAGGCTGACCTCAAACTCCTGATCTTCCCCCCTCAATCTCCTGAGTAGCTGAGATTATAGATGTCTACCACCAGCCTGGCTTCCGTATCCTAATCAGTATACTATTTCTGTATTTAGTGCATTCTTAAGCAATATGATATATAATCTGTATGAATATTCAACATTTAAAAGATGCAAGATCTCAACTAATGATCCATGCTACTTTGTAGGTTCATGTTTTAGCCATAAATACTCATTAGGTACTAATATTAGGATTTTTTCCAAATTATGGAAATCTCCAGAAATAGAAATATTCAGTATAATTTAATGGAGAAAATTAGTATGCTACTATTTTTCTAAGTCATAAGTCTTTGTTTTGCCTTAATAGGTTAGATTATGCTAATGCACATCTACTGTTATGAATTATCATTTGTGTATATATTGAGGCCAATTACAAATTACAAATTATGTAACTGAAAAAAAAAAAACTCATGTACTGTAATGGTTGACCAAGTAATTTGGACCAGATATTTTGCTGAAAATGTCTAGAAAAGTTGACAGCTGAACAAAGAATTTAAGAAAACCATGTACTTAATGATAATCAGAGGACTGACAACAATGAATTTCTAAGGAAGCACAGAAACTTTGATAGGTGAGCTGTCTTCCCCTGTAAGTGATGGCCAAGTTGTTAAGTGGTGGCTGAGGTGCTAGGTGGTTATGTTCATAAACTCATGGGACCAGAGGAACAGACATTGGTAAGTCCTTTATTTTGAGTAAGGACTCCACATGGTTGCTTGTTAGAAGTAAGAATGATCCAGAAGTAAACAGGCCTTTAAGGGGTTTGTAGCTCAGCTCAGCATACTGTCAGTCTCTGGAAACAAAAGATTTTTACAGCTCCAACTGCCTGGCAGAAACAAATCTAGGGAGTAAACATCCTAAACAGACTCTAAGGTAACCCCCATAATTCCTGTCTTTTGGTATTCTGGTTGGGTGAGGGAGGACCTAGAGTTTACTTCAAATCAATAGAATACTGTGAAGATGATAATGTGATTATTTGATACATGATTACATCAAATTCTAATGCCCATCTTAAGCAACTCCCATGTTGACTTTGAAGAAGTAAGTCCCTGTATTGTGAGCTGCTCTTTGGAGAGGGCTCTATGGCAAGCCACTGAGGTTGGTCTCTAGACAACAGTCAGGCCCTTATTCCAATAATCTGCAAGGAACGTAATGCTGCCAACAGTCATGTGGTTTTCAAAGTGGCTCCTGCCCCAGTGGAGTCTCACCTGAGACCAACCTTCACCATCATTCCAATCTTAAATCATGAACCAGAGGACTTAGCTAAGCTGTGCTTGGACTCCTGACCCACAGAATCCATAAGGTAATAAATGTGTGTCGAGTCTCTAAATGTGCAGGAGTATTGTTACACAGCAGTAAGAAACTAATACATTACAACTCCAAATCTGTAAAAAGTTCTGCAAGTACATTGTTGGGCACACAAAAAATAACTATCCACACAAACACATGAGTGAAAATCAGCAGAAACTTCCACTAAAGCATCTGCAGGACCTTCCAAATACTGGGATTTTCAGACATGTTACACTTCTGAGAATTTTGACAAGGAACTGAAAATTATATTAAAAACAGTTGAAGTTAGTACTTGGGAGACTAAAACAGGAAGATCAAAGTTGGAGGCCAACCTGGTTGCATAGCAAGACCCTGTCTCAAAGCAACAAAGTGAAAATACTAGAACTGAAAATTAATATGCACTGAAATTAGGATTTTTTTCTTTGAGATAGAGTTTCCTTAGGTAGCCCAGGTTGACTTTGAACTTCAAATCCTACTTTCTCAAGTTATTGAGTGCTCAACTTCTTGGGATTACAGGCATATGCACCATGTTCAGCTTGAAACATGGATCTTTATGGATAGATTTGACAGCAGAACATTCATAGCTGAAAAAAGTAGTGAGTGAACACAAGGTAGAATATCCTGAATGATCTAGAGAGGGGCAAATCAAACAAAATACAAAAGAAAAGTCGGAACATAGAAGATACAGAAAGATAATCTGCCATAAGAAATCGGTATCCATGGGAGAAAAAGAAAATGAAATGAGTGATAGTTTATGAGATGGTGACAGAAATTTCAACTGAAGAAGGTATCAAACTACAAATTCAAGAACCCTTATGAACCAGGCTTGGTGGTACACACCTGTAGTTCCAGCTACATAGGAGACAGAGAGATGGAACACTTGATTCCAGGAGTTCTGGGAAAGTCAAGGCAACATGGAAAAAACAAACCTAGAAACCCTTATGAACCTTAGCCTCAGCTTGCATGGTGCACTGGGTTCAATCCCCAGCATAAAAAACAAACAAACAAACATGAAATCATGTCATTGTAAAACTGATAACCAAAGATGGAAAGAGTGTAAGGGGCCAAAAAAATATTACACTGAAAGGATCAACAAACTGGTAGCTGGTTATTTATTAAATGCTTGGCTGAATTCAATACTGAAATCAAAGCCTGAGGTTTTCTTTCTTTGAAGGCTTTTTTAACTACTAATTCAATTTCTTTAATTGATTCAGTTTGTTTAGTTTTTCTTGAGTATACTTTGGTAGTTTATGAGCATATTACCTATTGCTGCATAATAAATTACCCCAAAACAACAGCTTAATGTGTGGTAGTACATACCTGTAATCCCACGTACTTGGGAGGCCCGGTGGGAGGACCACTTGAGCCCAGGAATTTGAGAATAGCCTGAACAACATAGGAAGATCCTGTCTCAAAACCAACAGCAATAACCTAACAGCTTAGAACAGTACACATTAATTATCCAGTTTCATCAGGTCAAGAATTCAGAAATGATCGCCTGGGTGGTTTTGGCTCAGGATTAGAAATGGGTCAAGATATTGATTAGAGCTACAGTCATATGAAGACTTGACTTGAGACTGAAGGATTTGTTTCAGGTAAGTCACTCATGTCTTTTGGCAGGGAGCTTCAGTTCCTCATCATTATCAGGAAGGCTCAATTTATTGCTAGTTGACAGAAGGCTTCCATTTCCAACCATAAAGGACTCCCTATAGTTGCTGAGTGCCCCAAAAAACATGGCAGCTGTTTCCATGACAAGTGAATGATCCAAGAGAAATGGCAAAAGGAAACCACAATGTTTTTTGTAACCTGTCACAGAAGCCACACACTAATACTTTACCATATTCTATTTTCTACAGTAGAAAACTAAGTCTAGTCCACATTCAAATTAGACTGTACTCTTTGGGAAGTGGAAGTCAAAGAATGTGCAGACGTAATTAAAAACCACCAGTATTTCTCAAGGACTTCATTTCACCTAAATTGTGAACTTTATGGACACACATTTTTTCATAATATTCTCATTAATCCTGTAATTTTACAGTGGACACCTATATACCCACTATTTAGAGTCTACCATTAACATTTTACTCTTCTGGGGCAGCAGGGGGAGGGGGTGGCACATAGCTCAGTGGCAGAGCATATGGAGGCCCAGGGTTCAATCCCTGGCACCAAAAAACAAGAGAAAAGTTTATTCCTTTGTCACATATCTGCCCATCCCTTCATCTATCTACCCTCTTTTTCTTTTACCCTTTTAACATAAGCATGTCCATTTTTCCTTCTTTGTTCTCCAGTGTATCAAATCGGTGCTTCTGGGGTTGATGGAGCCTCTGTATCTTTCAGCTACAAGTGAGCTCCAGGAATTGTTTAGTTTATGGTTCCTGGGTCACCTTTTGCCCAGACGTAAGAAGTTTAACCTTACGCGTATATGTCTTAGTAGTATTCACCCACAGATTCAAGGAGCTATCGTCCTTTTGTAGATTTCTTGAACTCTCTCATTTTGCTTCTTCCTCACTGGTACTCTGCCATCCACTACAGGTACCAACCAATATGATAGGACACATCAATAAGAACGAATTTGTACTATAAACACCAATAACAGAGCCATGGCTGAATAGCAACCAGCACTGGTCCTATGCTAGTACCTTGCACACATACTGTACGGGTAGGGCATATTCTTTGCTCATTTATCTATAGTCTTGTGTTCTGCTTATTTATTTGTCTGA